ACGTACAAGCGAGTATTTATTTTGTTTTTATATCATAATTGATAACTCTTATTATTTATTTACAATTTAATTAGACTACCATAGCAATAATGGATATGTGGTTGAAAACTAGTAAGCTTCATTCCACGGATGCAGAACTAGTTTCGCTACTACTGTTGACAATGAACCAGATGTTAGTACCAAAAAGTTGTCTGGTGATTCAGAGTTACCCATTTATAAAAAGCAAAAGTATAATGAAGAATACATAAAATTTGGTTTTACACGGATTGGTGATAAAAATGAACCAAAAAGGTTACGCGTTGAATGCGAACGTGTGATGCACAATAGCAGTTTAAATCCTGCAAAACTGAAAAGACATTTGGAAACAAATAATCCAACTTTACAAAATAAAAATGTTGAGTATTTTAAAAGAAAATGTAATGAGTCAAAGAATATAAAAAAGACAAAAATGACCTTAAAAAACGATTGTGATAATACTTTGGAAGTATCGTATCATGTCAGTTATGGTATTGCTCAACAGGGTGAAGCTTGTATGATCGCAGAAAAATTAATTAAGCCATGCGTAAAAGATGTAGTTACTACCACTATTGGGAAAGAACGTGCTAAATTAGTTGATTGTATCCCCCTTTCGGATACTACAGTTGAGGCACGTTAAAGATACGTCTATTTTTGCAAAAATGAGCTCGTAAGACATTCGCGAGCTTCCGAACATGGATTTACTATTCAACTCGACAAAACTACAGATATAGCTGGATTAGCAATCTCGCTCGTTATCGCGAGATATATCCATGGAATGGCTACTCGAGAAGATACGCTAATTTGCAAAAGTTTGCCAACCAGAACAACTACATAAGAAATTTTTAATTTGATAAATTCATATTTCAAAAAGCAAGATATATCTCGGGAATTATGTCATTGAGTATGTACCGATGGAGCCAAGGCAATGCTCGGTAAATTGAACGGCGTAGTTGCACACGTGAAACAAAAAAATCCTCACACGAGAAGTACTCATTGTCGTCTTCGTCGACGGGCTCTCGCAGTGACGAAAATGCCAGAAGAGCTAAAAGACGTACTTAACAATTGCGTTAAAATTATAAACTTTATCAAATCAAGGCCATTAAATTCGAGAGTTTTCAATTTATTGTGTGAAAATATGGGAAGTTTATATAAAACACTACTGTTGCGCACAGACGTCCGTTGGTTATCTCGTGGAAAAGTGTTAGCAAGGTTTTGCAAATTAAAAGATGAAATAAGAATTTTCTTATCTGAATGCGCGCCTCAATTATCTCAAAAATTAAATGATGCAGTTTGGATTCAGAAAATGGTATATCTAGCAGATATTTTTACCCATTTAAATGAGCTCAACGCATCACTCCAAGAAACAAATATCAATATTTTCAGGGTACAAAGTAAAATCGATGCTACTCTTTTAAAATTGAAATTTTGGGCAGTTTGCATTTTGAAAGGAAATGTTGAATACTTTCCTAATTTGCACAATATTTTAGTAGACAGTAACGCTAATCTCAATTAAAATGTAAAAAATAATTTGGTCCAACATTTATAGGATCTGCAAAAAACATTTCGCGAATGTTTTCCTGTTCAAAAAGGAAAATTATCTCGAATTCAAAATCTTTTTCAAGACTGCGACACCTCCGAACTCCAATAAAAGAAAGAGAAGGACAAATTGATATAACGGCCAACACTCGATTAAAACTAAAATTTAATCAAATTGATATTATGCATTTTTGGATTGACATTAGGAACAAATATCCTGAAATTGCCAAAAGAGCTGCGAAACATTTAATGTCATTTGTATCGACCTATATATGTAAAAAATCTCTTTGTATGCTGCCACAAAAACAAAACACAAACAGACTGAATGCCAAAGATGACGTTAAGTGGCAGATTTCAACAATTATTCCTGATGTAAAAATGCTTTGCAATAAAAAAACAAGCACAGTCAAGTCATTAAAAGAATTTTCTTTTTATTCATTTGTTATAATATAAAATATTGTTCCTTTTGTTAATTATTCATAAAATGTATTCTAGAAAATAAATAAAATAAAACACGATTCACTACCTCACTATTCGTTGTTTTATTAAGATGTTTGTATTAATATTAAATAAAAAGATACAAGAATAATTTTGCAAATTTGAGTAGAAAAAAAGCTTTGATAAACTATTTTATTCGCTACTTAAACACGAGGTTCCTTCAAGAAAACCCTGAGCTCAAAGTGTTCCCGAAAGTGTAAAAGGTTGAAGACCCCTGCCCTAGGTTATCTTTTCAGCCAAAAACGCATAAAGAGAACTGGCCACTAAGACCATTAGTAAACAAAAGGTCACATCCCACTTACCACCTGGAAAAAGCCCTTGCAAAGTTTCTACGAGAGCTACTTCCGGAATCACCACATGTCACTCCTTCCTCTATAGATGCCAAAACCATCATTAGTTCCAACATGGCAAAAGCACATGGCAATACCAGCATATTCTACAAAATGAACGTGATATCCCTATACCCATCCGTTCCTATATTTGAAGCCGTAATGTTAGCCAATGCTATGCTCCTCAGAAAAGGTTTTACGATTCAATAAGTGCTAGGCATTCGTGAAGCGCTGATCTTCATCACCGAAAACAACTATTTCTGCTTCAACCAGAAAGTCTACTTATAGAAGCAAGGAGTTCCCATGGGCTTTCCTCTCTCCGCAGTATTAGCCAAGCTCATTATGAGAGATGTGGAACAAAAAACTTTCAACGCCCCACATGCTATATGCTACCCATCACTATACTTACGCTATGTAGACGACATCCTACTAATATAAGAAAACTCAGAAGAGGAGTTTATCCAGTTTATGCAGCAACTTTCAAGCATCCATTCCACCATCAATTTCACCTGGGAAAAGGAGTGGGATTAATCTATAACATTTTTCGATGTGCGGATACAGAAGTCATTAGAAGGGCCACAGTTTACAGTGCATTATAAATCCAACATGATCCCCTATATCATTCCAGCTGATGCATTTCAACCATTGCAGTATGTCAACGTCGCCATAACGGCTCTTGTCAGAAGAGCGATGCTACTTCCCTCATCGCAAGCTCTAATAAAAGTAGAATTGGAAATCACACTGGATTCACAGGTGCCAAATTTACACATGTACTACGTAGGATAAAAGATTCCCTTTTCCCATTTACCACACTATATAGCAAAAAAGAAATGTCTAGAGCACAATCAGCATTGCCATACCTAGGAGCACCGTCCATACTTATCAGCCGTATTTTCCAGCGATACAGCTTTACCCTTCCTTTAACTCTCCTACCTAGCCTACACAGGAGCATATGCAACGATTGGGATAAAGTTGACATTTTAGAAAAATCGGTAACTAGAAAATCCAATAACAGGGATAATTGAGAAGTATATAGGGGCAACAACAAGAATGTTTGCTTGCCATATCGCAGAACATCAGGAGGATATAAACAAAGGAAGACAGACCACAGAGTTCGCCAGAAAAGTTATACAGCAGGGCTATAACCCGTTATGATCACAGCATTGCTCAAGCATTGTAATAACAAAAGAATTACATTTATTTGGGAAGCACTCCTCACAATGACCACGGACGCATGCAACGTCCCTACCCTCGATTTGCCCGAAATATGGGTTACTTTATACCAGCGTTTAAACAACAAAATGCACCAAGAGTTGAACAATTAGTACAATCACTCCTCAACGCATGCACTGCTAGTTGTGTGGATTTAAGATCTTTCGAATGCCTGCAAAATCTTGTTGCACGTTACCAACGGAATTACCAAACATTATAATTTAAAAATTGACAAGAAAATTTTCTGTTTTCTACTTGGAACACTCTGCACATTCTATTTTTTTCATATTTGTTCTTTTTCGCCTGAGGACGACAATATAATACTCGTCAAAAGTACTTGCGATATAAGAAAATCGTGTTAACACTGAACTCAGTGCTTGTTATCAAGAAGCAATTTATAATATATAGTAAAAATTATGTACAGGCTGCCCTCATTTTACATTGGTCTGATTTATGCCAATTGACAACAACACTAATTTCAGATATTCCCAAAAAACTTTTTCTACAACATGTAGAATACTTTTGCAATTGCTAAATGCAAATATTTATATTAGAGATATTAGAAAATTTGGTAGAACATTGGAGATACAAAAAAGGAGAGAAATGATGATAAACCAAACTGTGTTATCATCATTACAACTATTGACACCTTTAAATGGTTTCTTATTAATGCCAACTCATTAACTGAAGAATGATTTCGTGAAATTGATCCTGAATGAAAAATGAAATGACTTTGTAAAGAGAAGTTTAAATGAAGCCTTAGCACCTTTTTATGAAATTCTCAAAAAGAGGAAAAGAAAAGCATGACAAACAATTTTAAATTCATATTTTACAAATGTTCATAATCCTCAGTCTAGCTCATCATTGATGAATGATTCTCAACTAGGACCATCATCATAGAAACTAAAGCTATTCCAGCAACACTACTTTACAAAAACAATACAGTACCATGTTGTGGCGTTACGAATGCTGACCTTTAGCAAATAAAAAAAGTTTACTTTTTATTTGCTAAAGATCACAGTTTGTAACACCACAACATGCTAGTGAATTTACATTATAAAGTTAAACATTGGCATGAAGTGTACTTTTCTTTTATTAAAAATACAGTACCAGTATAAAAATTGCATCATTGATATGAATGTACGTAAATAAGTTATAATTTCTGTATTATTACTATTTTGTATTAGTAAAAATTTCAGTGCTATATATTACGCATAGAATTCGGTACTAAACATGTTTTTAATTGAAAAATCTGAGGCATATCCCTAATTATTCCGTAGTAAAATGGATTTATTATATATCAATTCTATTTATGCCATCTCCTCCAGAAATGCATGACTGGCGTAAAATGAGGGCACTTTTATATATCAGAATATTCTAGATACTAAGTATTAAAATTATAATTACTTTTGCTAATCCTGCTTTATTTGCACCATTAGCTTCCATATATTCAATATATTTTGGAAAATCTTTCATTTCTTCAACTGTTGGTCGAAAAACTAAAATCCGTGGAACACCTGAACTGTTTCCACTTGAAGAACTCATTTTTCTTTGTTTTTGAATTTTATTTTTTCTAATCAAGCTAAATAGAAAAAAAAATATTCAAATTAATATTATGGAGGAATTAAACATATAAATAAACAACAACCATATAATAATACAGTAGAGTCTCGAAAACTAGGCACTCGATAACCCGGCAGTCCAGATAACTCGGCCACAGCCTGGCAGGGCAAAAAAATCCTTAGTTAATTAATTTTCATTATAGACAGCTTTATGCCTCAAAGTATTTCTCTGAGGTCTGTCTTATCAGGTAAATTACTGTACACAGTGTATTCATTAATTTTCATTTTCATGTAGTAAAGGCTCTATGCCTTCATAAAGGACGTACTTTTCCTTTGTTTAAGGGNTAATAGAAGCAAACTTTAGCATTAAATCTGATATAATAAATGAAACAACTAATTTAGAATTAAATGTGTTCATTATGAGAGTTGATAGAAAGTGTAATATGTAATAACCAAAATAGAAATAATTTATATATATAGCTCATAATGAACACATTTAATTCTAAATTAGTTGTTTCATTTATTATATCAGATTTAATGCTAAATTTTGCTTCTATTAGGTAATTTATAAATTTAAAAAGTAAAATTTTAGGCTATATTTTAATTTATAGTATAGAAATAGTTAAATAAATAAAACTCATGCCAAAATTGTATAGCTTCTTGATAACAAGCACCGAGTTCTGTGTTAATACGATTTTCTTATATCGCAAACTATTTCTATACATAATGGAAACTGTGAAAAACTCTTTTTTCACATTGCTGAAGCTACAGAAACTGTGGCAAAAACTGCTTGCCCAATTACAATTTCTTTTGAAATGCAGAGCAAAAAGAGTGGTTCCCAAGTGCATATGGCTTAAGCACAAAAAATTTCCAGAGTGCGTATGAGGGATACTTCCGAAAGTAGAACAGTCCCTTTTGACCAAGCTAATTAGAAATAAACGCAAGTGCTTCACAGAAGCAGAGCAAAAAACCTATGTAGCTCATCTGTATTTTTCTAAGGCATGTGACCCCCTCCACGTTGTACGTTCAACTGGGCAAAGTGCAAAGTATAACATCAATCGCCATACAGAAAATTAAAAAGAAGCTGAACAAAAAGCTCCAGTGGCTACTCAATTCATCACGTACACAAAAAATGGTAGCAGTAACCACTCCATATTATAACTATACAAAAGAGAATGTGCCCATAATTGTGCATAACACACTGCAATGGGGTCCCAAGTACATCTCATCTCCTACAAGATCAGATTTCGACCAGTTAATCCCAGCCACATTAGCAGCTTTAAAATTTTGCCAGACTGCACCCATGTACCAGCAAATGAAATTAGAAGTCATCACAAAACTTGCTATAACAAAGCAAATATCTGATGCATCAAATAGTCGCAAAAACCACCAGGCAGTAACGAAATTCCTTGCCAAGAACAATCTGAGGCTCTTAGTATCGGGCAAGGACAAAAGATTTGTTTTGTGCAGAGAAAATGACCTCATCACTAGAACCAATGATTTTCTGTTACAATCCAGCTCTGTGGAGATAAACAACGACCCAACACCAGCAGTACTGTAAAGAGCAAAGAAAATCATAGCACTTCCAGGAATAGCCTTGACACTACCAAGACGCCTCGATCCTCCATCCAACATTGCATGCCCTAGGTCAGGGGTCTTCAACCTGGGTTCCGCGGAACCCTAGGTGGAATGTTGACGGGGGTTCCGTGAGTGATCACTATTTGCTTGGCCAAAACACACGTAAAATGGAAATCATCTATACAAGGAATTTTTCATGTACAAACGGGATAGTGGGCTGTCTTATTAAAATATTAGATTAATATAATATTTAGATAAAAATTACAATATTAATATAAATTGGATATAAAGTGGCAGTTGATTTTAAAAAATAAATATAAATAAATATTTTATGGATAAAATAAAATCTTGAAATTCGGTAA